CAATTGGGGACTGGGGTTGGTCGGATAATTGAAAAGTCGGATAACCGAAAAGTATGAAAAAATCCATTATTAGTGTAGTATATTATTATATCCCATGTAATTAGTATATTAGTATATCGCTATTAACCTACTTCGCGTTGAATTTTCCTCCCTGTTAAGCCTATAAAATTTTTTAAAAAATAATAATCGTCGCTATTGTATTGTTAAAAATTAGAAAATTAAGCCTCGTTTAAATACTGGCTCCCTTTCATGGTCGATCCAGTGTTGCCAGCTAAAACACGTAAAAATAATATTAAAGTAGCCAAGACATATCCAAATATTGTAGCGCCACATCACTAGCGGACATTTGAATTTGCCGACTAGAATGCGGTCGGTTAACCGAGGTGACGGTTAATCGGGGTCGGATAATCGATGCTCTACTGTAAATACAGTATTAATTTTTGTTTACGCGCGTGGAAATATGCCAGACGGACAACGTCTCCCGACAGACAAAAGTCCTTACATAAGCCCCATATTCACTCTATAGTGGAGCATATTAAGAAGCTAGATGTCGCATTAAACTATAAAATTTACATTATAGAAAACCATAAAGAAAACGAATAATAATTAATGCCTACAAAATATTATTTTATTTCTTATTTTATATAAGAAAATATGATTTTAGAAAGCTACGAACATCTATAGACCTATTGCTGAACAGTGACATTATGTTTAAGGCTGAACGAAGGATCTTGAAGATATTTATGTATCAGTTTTTCCACAGCATTTCAAAAATTTACGGCTTGATATTCTCGTTCGACACGTTTTTCATCATCGCACTCATCTTCTATAGAATATTTTATATATAATCTTTATAATATTTGTCCAGATAACTTAATAATATCAAATTTTGCAGCTAGTGCAAGAAGTACGCTATTCGACTTTGACCAAACGTTCTGTGGATTTTGTAAATAAAGAAAAAGCGTTACTAATTCCATTTGTCGTCTTTCTCGAATTCGTGCCGCTACAGCGTGTAACAACTTGAAACTAATTTCAGTTTACAAATTCTTCAATTTACGTAACAAAAATTCAAATATGCCTTCACACGTTAAGAAATTTGCATTTTGTCGCTTAAGGCCTCAACTGCTAAACGAATTCATTCTAAAACTTTAGGATGATGGATCCAAGTTTAACATTCGTAGTTTCTCAGAAACCAGTTTTAATAATGTCTTAGCATCTAGAACTAGTTACAATTAATCTTAAATTAAATTTGTACTTGTGGACAGAAATGAGAAAGATCGGGATCAGATATTTTTTGTTTATTTATTGGTTCTGATTTCTTCTGGATTATTAGTTTATGATGGATTGTTTTCAGATGATCACGGAAATTGCTCGTAAATGATACTTTGTAGCTGAACGTCTTACGACCACGATAACAGCACGTCCTTATTGTGGTAAATATGTCTTTTTCAACTTCTTTGAAATTATTACAAACTACTGACTTATTTGTAAATCTTATTTTTGTCTAAAATAATAATCAAAATATTTTAAATACAGTCAAACTTCTATATAACGAAATCGCTAAATCCAGAAAAACAATTCGTTTTTTCTTAAGTCTCGCTATGGCGAAATAAAGCATACAAGCCTCCGAACCTCATAAATTAAGTGCTTTATTTCCATTTGAGACAACTCTAAAAAATATCAGGTGTCAAAACGATTTTACTGTCTCTGACACGAGTTAAATGATAAAAATAAACGAATATAATAAAATAGTATGTTGAAAAGGGGATTTACACACTTTTACATTGCTTCATTGAAAAAAAATGTAGAATTATATACAATTACAAATTAAATATTCCAGCGACCCAGAAACAAAGTATTTTCATGATCACAGTTTGAGTAACACTGAATATCTATTTAATGACATTCAGCAGCTATTAGTAACAAGGTTTCATTTATACATATTGTGGGTAGCCTGAGGTAGGACGAAGTCGTACCTCGTTTTGATAGGCAACAGTTTGGTGAGAACCGCCCACTAATTAGTGGATGGCTTGGATAATGTTTTTCTATCCCGTAAAGTCGGGATTCTTTTGTCAGGTCGAGTGGAGGAGGTGAGAGGAATCGTCGGTAAAGTGTGGGCGATACTCGAAGTAAAGACGACTTTTAACAACAAAAGAAACATTTATTTAGACAACATAATATCCTAACGTACAGGGATTAACTATTTGCGCGTAATTTGAAGTGACCGCGCCGAGAGAGAGTTTACAATATTAGGTCATACCTCTACGAAGAGGGGATCGGACGGTCGGACGTTTTCTAACCAGATCGGACAAGTTGTCTTGAGGAACGGACGGCGGCGATGAGGATCGGCACGGGTTTTCGGCGATCACGAACGGTGATGACAGACCGTATTCACGGACGGCGACGACGGACCTCCTTTTCTCGTCGTCACCCCTCTTTTATACCTTTCGTCACGTTACTGGTTTCCGCCAATCGCCGATTTTTAGGATAAGTTCCTCATGAATCACTTTTCGGGTTCCTGAGAGATGGGAAACGCCTCCGTGGGAAGAAAATGTGTATATCCTTTTTCGTAAAATTTCGAAAAATGAAGTTTTTCTTTGTTTAACTTTAATAAAGATGTTTAATTTAATTTGAGCTTCTTTATTTAATTTTATTTTATTCGGTCCGACCCTCACAATATTCATCGCCGAAAATATGGGAGAACTATTAAAAAATTTTTACAAATTTAGTATTAAAATACATAAATAAAATTTTTAAAAATTTTTGTACTTGGCGGCCTTTGTCGGAAGTATATTTAAAATTATAACGACAATGTGTTTTCAGTGTATAAGTGACAGTATAAAAGACAGCAGAAGTGAAAAGAAGAAAGAGTATTCTTGTACCAGCGCAGGAATTGATTCAGACGTAGGACGAAAACAACATAAATAAATCATTTCGGTAACAACAAGTCGCTTTTTACGTGATCTCCAAGATATATATGAATGCACCTACATCGACACACACCTGACACAATAGAACACTTACGATCGGTTTCCAGAAGTAAAAATCGATGCTATTTTCTATTTTTAAAATATTACGTACATAAATTAATTTAGAAACAAATCCTTCGTTGGAATAACTTTAATTAAAGCGAACGTCTACAATAATTCAAAAACAATAAATTCAAAACTCGTTTGAACTCCGAAATGCGTAAAATATAATATAAAAAGCACTTTTTATTAGACATTCGAAAATATGAAGAGCGATATGAATGTGACAGAGAAAATATCTGATATCAGCCAAAAGTCATTGAGAAAACAGGAATAAAATGTAATTTTATCTCGGTATTCCCAATTATTCTTGTGTTTAAATCATGCGCATTTAATTACTCTCAAACAACAATAAAATTCTATAACATTATTTCAATGCATTGTTGTTTTATATTCAATTGAAAAAACCTAAATTTAGATTATTTATTATTTAAATTTAATTAATTAAAATCTGAAATGGTAAGTAAAGAGTTTATTTTGTGAAACAATTTTAATTTGGCAATGTTTTTCAAAAAATGTTCGACAAGACACCTTCAATCTTAACTTCGTTTTGTGCCTAGAGTACATATTACAGATTTTAGCATAATATTTTAATGCATGATAATTATTTATATTACCATAAATAATTTAGACTTAAATTTTTACTATTTACTTACTTTTACTTATCGGAATTTTTTAAAAGGAAAGAAAACATCAATGCACGAATTGCGGTAAGACATTCTCGACAAAACATAATTTAAGTGAACACATGCGAACTCACACAAATGAGAAACCGTTTAAATGCGAATTCTGCGGAAGACGTTTTTCGCAAAAAAGCAATTTAACACGGCATCTAAAATTGCATTCGAAGGAAAAGCCTTTCAAGTGTAATTACAAAGACTGTGGATGGAGCTTTAAACGAAAAGATGAGTTAGAACGACACCAGTTCGTACGGCATCGCAAAGAGATTTTATCTAAAGTAAACATTACGATAAGTTTCTATACAGTCGATCCCCCTATAAGATCATTGATTTTTCCGTTTTATCTGAATTACATGTTGTACGAGTCACTTAGATTTTACAAATACGTGTGCCGGGCTGTGAACGGCTCACATATTTGTAAAATCTAAGTGACTCGTACAACATGTAATTCAGATAAAACGGAAAAATCAATGATCTTATAGGGGGATTCGACTGTATTTTCATTTTAATATTTCCATTCCCAAAACGATCAGTTATAAAAAAAAGACAAACACAATAAAATTTAATAGGATTATATAAAACATTTAATTTATTTTGTAAACAATATTCAATGTTACTGTGCTAATTTACAAAAACAAATATTAAAATAATAATATTAATATGTGACTGAAATTATTATTTTTATTCTTTGCGAACTGCCAATATAAAACCGTTTTCCCTATTCACTCTGTGCCAACTTATCATTTAAAAACATTTTTAAAATATTTGTTTTGTTAATGGAGTTATTAAGTTAGTTCATTTTTTTTTCTTTTGTTGTTGTTAAAATTACAAATTATATTATCTTCTTAAGGTTAAATTCAGATTACAGTCGAAACGAAGTCCAAAAATGTTGTACGACTGTCCGTAATTGCTAACGTCAGTAATAAGATCTAAGCAAATTACTCTGCAACAGTTCGTTAGCTGCAATTTCATAAAATAATTCACTACAGATTAATATAACTTGAACAAAATATCTGACTTTTAATTCATATATTACGCAATTAAACGAATCGTTGAAATAATTATTTCATAAATTATTATGTAATTAGATGTCACCAGATGACCCGAAAATCACAAGCCGTAAATGTCATATTTGCGGAATACTTTTTTCAACTACTCAGGCTTTAAGAGGTCACCTGAGAACTCATACTGGAGAGCGGCCATATTCATGTAATAATTGCAACGAAAAATTCAGTTTCAACACTCAATTAATAAGACATCAAATAAAGTTTCATCCGAAAGCGGAAACACAAACTTGTTTCGAGGTAAGTTCACAAATATTTTTTAGGAAACAATTTTAAACATATATTATTAGTATATAACTATAATTATATTATTAATATTAATCTGAGCTTATTATGTGAAATAAATTCCGAGTAAAAAAGAATTAATTGAATTTATTTTGACAGTAGAAAAATATAATCAGCGAGAAGTTGCCGAAATTACAACAGACTGCATCTTGACTACTGTGTAGTTGTAAAAGTCTGGATGCAATCTGTTATACTCTTTCGAAATTTCGCGATTATTGCGTGTCTCCGTCGTCATAATTACTTCAATAAATTGTTTCTTATTTAGTAGCATTCTTTTATCTGTAATAGATTTAAAAATATTAATAATTAAAATGATATTTTTAGACTAAAATCTTGTAATAACCAGGAAAGTTACGCAACTGGTTGCAAAATTTTTTTAAAGCTATTGTGTTCTCATAACTTGAAATTCAAGAATTTGTCGATTCTGTTTCCTATGTTTTCCTTCCGTTCAAATTATTTATCAAAAGTTTATTTCATTTTCTCGTTTCGTCGATTATATTGAATGTAATATAAAAGGAATTATTGGGTCTTTACGACAAGAAACTTATGAAATCCATCAAATCATTTAAACAAATAGAGAAGTTCTCGTTTATTATTGTGTATATTAAGATGTCAAAATAATCTAAATACATCAGTGAACTAAAAAAAATCAAGTATTTTCACCTGAAATTACTGTGGAAAGTGCCTCCGTGAAAATAAGCTTGCGACACAAGTTAAATGATTAAAATGAACTAAAGTAATAAATTAACGTATATTAAAAAGCACTTTTAAACACATTTTACATAGTTTAATTATTATGCCTTTTTTTCCTTTTTAACTATTTATAATTTATTTTGTATACTAGTACTTTCTATATATTAACAGGACTTATTATACTGGAAAATTATGGATGCAGATATTTAGTCATACAGTTCAAAAATAATGTTCTTTATTTTTGAACTGTATAATTTTTGAACAGGTGAACTAAATAAAGAACATTATTTTTGAACTGTATGACTAAATATCTGCATCCGTGATTGTCCAGTATAATAAGTCCTGTTATTATATAGAAAGTACTAGTATACAAAATAAATTATAAACATTTTACATAGTTTTATTAGCGGAAGATATATATAATTATAAAATTTTAAACGAAATTAATCGGGACCACCTGCCCTTATGACTTTCATATCTAACTCCGTTCTTGAAATTATGCAGACGGATGTTAGTGGGAATTTATAGGTGTATAGTTTTTCAAATTGCAGCCAAATATTTTCGCGAGCCAGTAACAAAGTGTTTTCATGCCCATCACTTGAATACCCCGAATATGTAATGACAAATTACGCTGTTAGCAACAGACCCTTAGCAGCTGCAGTGAATAATGTTTTATTTATACATATTCAGGAATTTAAAATCATTACAAGATTTTGTATTATACACGCAAATTGTTCTTTGAAAAATACTAAAAATCTGTAGAGAGTATACAGTGAATTTTATCGAATGTATTTACAGGATATAAAAGACAACATTAAAGACGTTATAAGTGAGAGGAAAACAAAAGAATTAGATCCCTATTTTAGTGCAGCAAACGATTTCGACGAAGAACAAAAACAACGTAAAGAAATCATTTCTGGAATGACGAGCGACATATCAGATGAGTCTGAAGACATCCATGAAGACACTACCTTCGAAACAGATGTGGTACCATCGACATCTTTCGACCTGTTTCCAGAAGTAAGAATCGATCGATATGAATTGGAGTGTGTCTTGTGTCAAGTTAAATTTGACGACGAATTTTCTCTGCGAGAACACATGAAAAAGTATCATTAAGAATCATTTTCAACGTTAAACACGTTTAAATACTTTTTAGTTTACGACTGTTCCTTCGAAATTTATTCTAGTTTGATTCGTTTGCTCGTAAAGATTTTAAATGTGTTTGAAATTTTAATTTTAGTGACAAAATCACACACATAATTTAATGTTCAAAATTGTAGTAATTTAATTAATTAAATTAAACAAAAAATCAGTAATAAATTTTCAATTATTTTCATAAAGTTTAGAACTTTTTCTTATTGATAATTATCAAAAAAGTAATTTAATTCAGAATTATATGGCGATTATAGAAAACAATATATAAACTCTACATATACACAAATTAAGTGCATAAACACATTAATTTTTCAACGTTATATAATCAGAGAACATTTATTCACAATATTAGAACTCTGAGGTTAGCTTCAATCTGTCAATGAGTAGTGTCGAGACATCTAATCTAAACGCAAAAAATTTGCTAATAAGTGTTTTAATATGCTAGAACAGCGCGATTAAACGGGATCACACATGAAATGTAGGTGTTTGCTATACAGATTAGCTTGTCTTATCTGTGTACCAAACACCTACATTTTCATGTGCCTGGTCCTAGTGTTTTGAAAAAGAGAGAGATTCTTACGCAATTATAATAATGGTCGCTAGACTTCGCGAATGCCCACGAATTGGGCGTCCAAACTTAAGTGGAAAAGTCGAGTAGCACGTTGGTTCTGTCGTAGAGAGGGACAAGCACACATTTCCATGAGCTGCAGACAAGTCATCTGTAAATGGTGTACCGAAACAGCTTAGAATTATAATCTGTTAATTTGCTAATGAATCAGGATGCTTTCACTACTTCAGATACTGAGTTTTGGCCCACAGGATAACTTTCTTTACTAGCGTTATTAATCTGGTGTGAGACCAAGATATACCGCTGTGATATTCCTGAATGTGGAATTTATATTTTAAAGTATTACAAAGTACGACAATTCGGTTTCTACTTACAATATTATTGGAATGTGATTATTACTTACATAATAAAATATGTACATAAAATTTGTTAAATTTATATATAATGAAGATATTACAATGTCACAAATATATACTTCACATATTTATATTTATAATAAATAAACAATTTACAGGCTGAAGATGTCTTTCTTTTATATAGTAAATTATTCATTATGCAAATTTTATAAACATTTCGCTAGAATTTTATTTTTATCTGGAAACAAAATGCGTCAATTTCGGCTGTTGTCAGAAATAATTAGGAGTCTTCTCTTTTTTATACTGCATTAATTATTACGACAAATCGCGATAATAATGATTACTAAACTGATATCAATATCCATTAAAAACTCATTGAACTGGCTGATCTCTATTATTTTTATTCTTATATTTCCAACATAAATAGTTTTCAATACGGGAACAGATAATATTTTATACCAGGGGTGTCCAACCTTTTTGTTTCTCTGGGCCGCATTGGAAGAAGTCAAGGAGTTTTGGGCCACAAGTATATATAATATATACTTGTGGCCGAATATACAAGTATATTTAAGGATTAACATGTCTAGATTATAATAATAAGTATTAAAACTTTATCACGAGACAGGATATTTTAAAAAGTTACTTTTACAGACACTATCANATAATTACAAAATTTTAAACGAAATTAATCGGGACCACCTGCCCTTATGACTTTCATATCTAACTCCGTTCTTGAAATTATGCAGACGGATGTTAGTGGGAATTTATAGGTGTATAGTTTTTCAAATTGCAGCCAAATATTTTCGCGAGCCAGTAACAAAGTGTTTTCATGCCCATCACTTGAATACCCCGAATATGTAATGACAAATTACGCTGTTAGCAACAGACCCTTAGCAGCTGCAGTGAATAATGTTTTATTTATACATATTCAGGAATTTAAAATCATTACAAGATTTTGTATTATACACGCAAATTGTTCTTTGAAAAATACTAAAAATCTGTAGAGAGTATACAGTGAATTTTATCGAATGTATTTACAGGATATAAAAGACAACATTAAAGACGTTATAAGTGAGAGGAAAACAAAAGAATTAGATCCCTATTTTAGTGCAGCAAACGATTTCGACGAAGAACAAAAACAACGTAAAGAAATCATTTCTGGAATGACGAGCGACATATCAGATGAGTCTGAAGACATCCATGAAGACACTACCTTCGAAACAGATGTGGTACCATCGACATCTTTCGACCTGTTTCCAGAAGTAAGAATCGATCGATATGAATTGGAGTGTGTCTTGTGTCAAGTTAAATTTGACAACGAATTTTCTCTGCGAGAACACATGAAAAAGTATCATTAAGAATCATTTTCAACGTTAAACACGTTTAAATACTTTTTAGTTTACGACTGTTCCTTCGAAATTTATTCTAGTTTGATTCGTTTGCTCGTAAAGATTTTAAATGTGTTTGAAATTTTAATTTTAGTGACAAAATCACACACATAATTTAATGTTCAAAATTGTAGTAATTTAATTAATTAAATTAAACAAAAAATCAGTAATAAATTTTCAATTATTTTCATAAAGTTTAGAACTTTTTCTTATTGATAATTATCAAAAAAGTAATTTAATTCAGAATTATATGGCGATTATAGAAAACAATATATAAACTCTACATATACACAAATTAAGTGCATAAACACATTAATTTTTCAACGTTATATAATCAGAGAACATTTATTCACAATATTAGAACTCTGAGGTTAGCTTCAATCTGTCAATGAGTAGTGTCGAGACATCTAATCTAAACGCAAAAAATTTGCTAATAAGTGTTTTAATATGCTAGAACAGCGCGATTAAACGGGATCACACATGAAATGTAGGTGTTTGCTATACAGATTAGCTTGTCTTATCTGTGTACCAAACACCTACATTTTCATGTGCCTGGTCCTAGTGTTTTGAAAAAGAGAGAGATTCTTACGCAATTATAATAATGGTCGCTAGACTTCGCGAATGNTAATAAATTTTCAATTATTTTCATAAAGTTTAGAACTTTTTCTTATTGATAATTATCAAAAAAGTAATTTAATTCAGAATTATATGGCGATTATAGAAAACAATATATAAACTCTACATATACACAAATTAAGTGCATAAACACATTAATTTTTCAACGTTATATAATCAGAGAACATTTATTCACAATATTAGAACTCTGAGGTTAGCTTCAATCTGTCAATGAGTAGTGTCGAGACATCTAATCTAAACGCAAAAAATTTGCTAATAAGTGTTTTAATATGCTAGAACAGCGCGATTAAACGGGATCACACATGAAATGTAGGTGTTTGCTATACAGATTAGCTTGTCTTATCTGTGTACCAAACACCTACATTTTCATGTGCCTGGTCCTAGTGTTTTGAAAAAGAGAGAGATTCTTACGCAATTATAATAATGGTCGCTAGACTTCGCGAATGCCCACGAATTGGGCGTCCAAACTTAAGTGGAAAAGTCGAGTAGCACGTTGGTTCTGTCGTAGAGAGGGACAAGCACACATTTCCATGAGCTGCAGACAAGTCATCTGTAAATGGTGTACCGAAACAGCTTAGAATTATAATCTGTTAATTTGCTAATGAATCAGGATGCTTTCACTACTTCAGATACTGAGTTTTGGCCCACAGGATAACTTTCTTTACTAGCGTTATTAATCTGGTGTGAGACCAAGATATACCGCTGTGATATTCCTGAATGTGGAATTTATATTTTAAAGTATTACAAAGTACGACAATTCGGTTTCTACTTACAATATTATTGGAATGTGATTATTACTTACATAATAAAATATGTACATAAAATTTGTTAAATTTATATATAATGAAGATATTACAATGTCACAAATATATACTTCACATATTTATATTTATAATAAATAAACAATTTACAGGCTGAAGATGTCTTTCTTTTATATAGTAAATTATTCATTATGCAAATTTTATAAACATTTCGCTAGAATTTTATTTTTATCTGGAAACAAAATGCGTCAATTTCGGCTGTTGTCAGAAATAATTAGGAGTCTTCTCTTTTTTATACTGCATTAATTATTACGACAAATCGCGATAATAATGATTACTAAACTGATATCAATATCCATTAAAAACTCATTGAACTGGCTGATCTCTATTATTTTTATTCTTATATTTCCAACATAAATAGTTTTCAATACGGGAACAGATAATATTTTATACCAGGGGTGTCCAACCTTTTTGTTTCTCTGGGCCGCATTGGAAGAAGTCAAGGAGTTTTGGGCCACAAGTATATATAATATATACTTGTGGCCGAATATACAAGTATATTTAAGGATTAACATGTCTAGATTATAATAATAAGTATTAAAACTTTATCACGAGACAGGATATTTTAAAAAGTTACTTTTACAGACACTATCAATTTTTACTTACAAATAGATAAATTCATTTATTTGATAAAACGCAAACATTTGGTTTATTTGAGTCTCTGATTAATAAAAAACCAAGAAACACCATTTTAAAGTGCATTTTTATTCAACTAACATATTTATAAATGATATGTAGCCCCAAAAGTAGCCAAAGCTCCAAATGATATTTTTTTACGTTAAACTAAAAAAGTAGCCACATTTGGCTCAATGTAGCCAAATCTTGCTACGCTGGAAGGAATACTAAATAAAGCTGGAGTTGTGAATCAAAGAATTATAGAGCCAAATTCGGAAAAAAAAGAGAGAAAGGACAAAAAATAAAGAAGTGAGAAAGGTTGAAAAATTAAGACTCAATATTTGCCTAACAGAAGAACTATTTAACCTTTCTGACAACTTTTTATCTTTTGTCCTTTCTCTCCTTTCACCAAATTTGGGTCTATAATCCTTTGAGTCACAACTCCAGCTTTATTTAGTAATCCTTCCTCATTC